TAATGTCAGGATCTGTCCCGTCTGTGGCATCTCAGTATAACAGCGAGCTGTAGCTCGCGGTATACTGAGCTTTGGGCCACGGTAGAACGCTAGTTTGTGTTCTCCCGTGACCCTTAGGATAACTATGGAGAAAATCCCTGACCCCATAGTTCTCCTTTTAAAGCTTGTGGCAAGCCTATTGATTCCTTAGCATTTACAGGATGAAGCTTGTGTGAATTGGGCATTCGTTCTGCCTACTACAAACTTGTTAATATCAAATTGGTAGGAAGGGAATTTTCCATGCCCACTCTCGGCCCCACCACTAGGGCTCTTTGCAGGGACATTTTTATAAGAATTATGGTTTCAGATTTAAAGCCTTTTTATACTGCTTCATTACAGGTAATTTTAACCTGCTTCGATTACTTAATGCTCATTACTTGTCGGGCTAAGCTCCATGGCTGACTTGCTTTCCCTTTTTGTTCTTGCTCATAGCGCGTTGAAGAGAAGCAGAGGGAAGATGACGCCTTTGCTATCCAGGGCAAAGTAACGAAGGGCAAGAGTGGCAGACCACAGGTGAAAAAGCTGCAGCACCAGGAGACCTTGCCTTCACCACACGGAAGACGCGTCATTCCTAGAATTACAACCGCTATGAAAGCAGAGGCCACTAAGAAAATTAAGAAGAAAATCAAGGTACATGTTTTATTAATTCCATCACAATTTCCACTCTTGAGCAGGCTGCAAATAGTCAAAGTGATGCTGAAACCTCAGTGTGTTGGGTCTTGGTTTAATCTGTTCAGACACAGTGTAGAAGCAGAGCTCCTACTGTAGCCTGCTTCTGATGCATGCAGATCTGGTGCATGCATCTCCTCTGGTGGGCTTGCTTTTAGCAAAAAGGCAAGATTGTTTATCTATCATCTACAGAGGGAAAGAGCTAGGATTGCATTAACCTCCCTGGCAGTATTCCCGAGTGTGGCTCGGGGTTAATTTTCAGTACCAAGAGTGGTAACCCCAAGCCACACTCTGGATTGCACAAAAGTGTCACTTACCTTGTCCCTGCGAGCCCTCGGTGTCCTCTGCTGTGTGCGCCCGGCCAATGCCGGCATTCGGCTTTCAGTTTCGTTTTCGGGCGGAGCCAGCGGGAAATTCAAAAGTGAAAAGTTGCAATGTACACAGAATACACACAATACAATGTAATCTGCTATGATTACATTTATGTATCAAACTTTCACTTCAATTTTGTCCCTAGAGCTTTGTCCAGTGCCCTGCCTGCACTTTTACTGTTCTTTCTGCCTGGAAACATGTGAACGTCCATGGCATCCAAAAAGCGTCCCTTTAGGTCAAAAGCGTTTTTAGACCAAGTAGAAAACAGCGATAGTGATTTAGAATCACTTGCAGAATTGAGCGATAGCGATTCGTTGGGAAATTCGTCATCAGGCACTGAAAGTGACGACAGCGACGATTCTGCGACCGAGCTCAGGGATGTGCGAACTTGGTACTCTATTGACTGTGGTACGGATCAGGCCGCGCCCCCCAGAATTCCCATTTACTGGACTTTTTTAAAAAAATTATATTGTAATTTTTTTACAATTGTATTATTTATGTAACTTTATCATACCTGGGATGTCTACTGGACTCTTGTTTGGACAGATTTAGGCGAGTTATTCCTAAGAATTACAGTGTACCGCTTTGGCATGCTAAAATCCAGCATAACCATACCGCCAGGGAGGTTAAGCAATGTAGGATTATACTGAAACCTGCAGGAGAAATGTATAAGCCAGTGGTGGCGAACCTTGGCACTCCAGCTGTTTTGGAACTACAAGTCCCATGAGGCATTGCAAGGCTCTGACAGCCACAGACATAACTCCCAGAGGCAGATGCATGTTGGGATTTGTAGTTTTGGCACAGCTGGAGTGCCAAGGTTCGCCACCACTGGTATAAGCCATTAGTCTAAGAATTCCTGTTTTCCCTCAATGAACGAGAAAGAAATACTGTTTCATGTTTGCTTTCATATGGCTCCAGTCTATGGAAAAAAACATAATAGCACAAGTAGCAAGATTTGTGTAGTTTTTATATGAACACCTGCAAAATGTGCTACAACACAGTTAAGGTATGCAATAAAACCTGCAATGTGTGCTTGTAGGGCGAGGACGTTGCCAAGAAGATGGAGTTTGGAGAAGATGAAGATGGACAGGAGAGTCAAGAGAACAGTCCAGAGAACAGTCCTGAAGGCATGAGCCTTACTGAGAGACTGGCCAAGAAAGTGAAGGCAGAACCAGGTTTGTGCCTGATATTGCTAAACTAACATTGAAAAACGGAGAGAACCGGACCGCCACAAACTAGCACAATCGCTCAAGAATCGGAGCGCCACAACCCAGCGCAATAAGGTGGGGTTTTTAAAGGGGCCCTTAAACTCCACCTTATTGCGCTAGGTTGTAGCGTTCCGATTTCTCTTGTTTTTCAAGGATGCACACCAGACACCCCGGTCTGATTTCACCAGGAGCCGCACACCAGCCTTCAATACCTAGACCGCCCCGGCCACCGAAGTGCGCTCTCCAAATTTGACTTTTCTTTGAACTCTTTTTATATAGACATTTGTTGACTGTTTTTGGTAAAGTCTTGCATAATTATGTCTTGACAGGTGCAAATGGCATGAGGAGAATGACATGTGGTACTGTGCTCTTGCCAGCTGCAAGAAAGTTACGTAAGTGTATAAACATTGCTGTATTAACCCCTTCCCACACGCAGTCTGTAGGTTAACATACCCCTGCACAAAACCCTGTGGTGAAGGATCCTGTCAAGAAGTGCGCTCTCCAAATTGGTCTTTTTCTTTGAAGCTTTTTATTTCTAAACTGCCATGCCTTGTAAAAACAGGTCTTCAATTTACTGATATGTTTTTAAAGGTACTAAAGCTAAGGAAACCAAAGGAAAGAAGCAGATGACTCTTCAGTTCAAACCTGTGAAAAAAGAACCTCGGGCACAAATTGATTCCGATAGCGAGTTTGAACCAGAGGAAGTGATACCACGTGTAATACAGCCACGCCGGGCTACTGGTAAGATATCGTCTTCTTTTTTTGGTAGGGTGTTCCATTTCACTGCAAGGACGCGTAACGCTTTCAAAGTCCTTAAAGTGACATTAAACCCTCAGATTTTTTTCAACATAAACCAATACTGTAATGTGTGCCTTACTGTAATCCATGGTGGTTTCCCTTCTCTTTGCTGCTCTTCCTTTTAAATCCTTCTCTTCTTATGCTGGGCAGAACTTTTTTTTTTTTTTTTTTTCTGTTTTCTTATTGAGAAAGGTTTACCTCCTTGATGTAGTTCACACAATTTGGGTTTACCTCTCAGCCAACGCTTCTGTTCGGAAGACTGACTTTTCTCTCTCCTGATGGCCCTCCTAAAGGTGTAACTGCTTTTCCCTCTCCAATTTCTCGGTGGCTCGGACAAATTGTTCAGGCTTTTGGCCTTTTGAACAAGGGTCCACCTCTTTTGTCAAGGCATAGTCTACTAGATCTGAGTGCTTCTCGGGCCACATTTTACTAGGTGGATGTTCAGGTCTCATCTGATGCCAGCTTTGGGAGTGAGCTTCTGACCGACCCTAGTTTTATTTTTTTGTCATGTCAATTTGTTCATGTGTTTGTCTGGACTGCTTTTGGACATCTTGTATCAGAATTGAATATGGTTTCCCTTAATGAACCAAGAAACTAGGATTTTATGTACTTTGTCCTTTTTTTTTTTTTATTTTATTGCTTTTTTGGCGTTTATTGAGACACAGCGCCCCCCTTCCCCCCGTTTTATGTGATCTACCATCTACCAACTGCTGGTTTTCTACCAAACTGAAGAATCCTTGGGTGGGAAGGCTTTTTTGTTTACCCGTATCCTAATCCTCATGTTGATGGCAGTATAACAGTCATATCGGAACTGAATCTTTTTGTCCTTTTATGAACTGCAAGAAATTCATTTTATGGCAAGTCAAAAAATCCTTTTTTATGCTGTACTGGTGGTGTGTCTGACAAACTTAATATTAAATGCAATTCTATGTGGAAGCTTAGGCTTAGGTTTCCCGCGCTTTCGTACTCGCGGAAAACCGCTCAAGCAGGGAAATGCCCTTATTTTCAATGTGTATGGTCCCATCTGTGCGGTTTTCCGCGAGTACGAACGCGCGGGAAACCGCCCTACGCCCAAAGAAGTACATGTACTTCTTTGGGGCGTTTTTGGTCGGGCAGTTCCATTGGGATACAGCCAAGTATCCCTCGGAAACGCGTGTTTGCCGCGCGTTTTTTAACCGCGAATCGCGGTAAAAAAACAGCGCGGAAAACGCGCATATTCAATCCGCCCAGGTGGGAACCCAGCCTTAGAGTTTTGGAGCAAGTATGTGACCCTGCTGCTTCAAATGTGGACACTTCTGGTTCTGGAGGACAACTATCTTAAGAGGGAATTTCCTTCACCTTGGAAACAGATGACCTTGCTTCCTGTTGAGGCTACAGAACAAGAAAGGAGAAATCTCCCTAGACCCAAAAAAAGACTGTTTTTAACTCCCCTGCTGGGGGGGGGAGGGGGGGATTTGGCTTTAGAAATACTTTGTGTGCTTTAGAAGGTCCTCATCACCTCTTGCAAGCTCTGTACTTGATCCTACTCCACAAAGGACTCTGCTGTGCGGCATGCTTAGTGCCACACATCTTGTAAACCTTCACTGCCCATTCTGGATCTGCCTACATGTGCACCACAGTATCTATTCATTGTAATGGAAAATCCGTACTTTGCTGTTCCCAGCAATGGAAAAACAAGTGTAATGCATAAGGCCCGAATATTGTTATAATGCTGGGCACCAAGTAGGCTGCACAATGAAGATCTTGGCAGAACAGGCAGGTAAGCATGTGGTTTTCAAAGTCTGTTGGGGTGGAAAAGCATCCTAGACCACCAAGTGTAGCTAAGCTTAACAATCGTCCCATAACTTAACTTCTGTATGGTGGCATATGAGACTACAGTGGACCTGAAAATACAACCCCTCCAAAATGGCAAATATGAAATGCCTTTACTTTATGATGGGTGTAATAACTGTTAAATCACTGTATTGATGAGGGCAGCCTGTCAGTGTTCGGTTTTTTTGCTGATTACAGCACTTGCATGTACAATAAATGTGCTTTGCTCCTTCTCTAGCTCAAGTAAAATATGTCCTGGACTCGGATGAGGAAGAGGATGCTGGCTCTAACAAGGCGAGTGACGCTAGTGACATTGATAGCGATGCTGCATTTGACCCATGCGTAGAGTCTGATGAATCATTTGAAGTTGCTAAACCTGCACGCAAGCCAAAAGCTGCCTCCAAGTGAGTAGTTGCCTTCAGAATTTTTACATAGATTGGGTGTTACACTGTCATTTGAATCTGAAAGGGTTGTGTTATTTTGATGTACTTTCAACTACGAGATTCTTAAATCTCAAGACACAGCTTAAAAAAAATTGCATGACCGTAAAATATATACCAAGCCATTTTGTTTGTCCAATGATTTGTATTTTTTGTTCATCCAGTCCTGAGATGTACTCAGCTTTGCCACATCACCCAGTCCTTTCTAGCAGGAAAGGGGACATGCTCTTTTAAAAATGCTGTAATAATGATTACCGAGCTGCCCTAAAGTGTGCATTTTATATCTGCCTAAAATTAGCTTCAAGAGATAAGCTTGCTAATGCAGGGATGGCCAAACTCCGGCCCTCCAGCTGTGGTGAAACTACAAATCCCATGAAGCATCTCTCTCCGGGAGTCGTATCTGTGAGAGTCTTGCAAAGCCTCATGGGATTCGTAGTTCCACCACAGCTGGAGGGCCACAGTTTGGCCATCCCTGTGCTAACGTGATTAAAGTTGGAGCGCTATAACATGTACAGTGTAACTTTGCTTTGCCTCTGTAGTGCAAAGCAACTGGTGCACTTTAAGTGTTTGTCCCTTAACCTCCCTGGCGGTATTCCCGAGTCTGGCTCGGGGTTAATTTTCCATACCAGGAGCGGTAACCCCAAGCCAGACTCGGGACTGCAGAGAAAAGTGACACTCACCTTGTCCCTGCGAAACCGCGGCGTCCTCTGCTGTACGCGGCCCGAAAACTAAACTAAAAGTCAGATGCCGGCATCTAACTTTTAGTTTCGTTTTCGGGCAGCACAGCGGGGGGCGGAGCTGGTGGGAAATTCAAAAGGGAAAAGTTGCAATGTACACAGAATACACACAATACAATGTAATCTGCTAGGATTACACTTATGTATCAAACTATTTCACTTCAATTTTGTTCCTAGAGCTTTGTCCAGTGCCCCGCTTGACACTTTTTCACAATTTTAAGAAATTATAATATAATAAATAATTATAATAAAAAAATGGTCCAGTAAATGGGAATTCCGGGGGCGTTGCCTGATACAAGTTGATGCTCAATTTTCAAATCTGCATCGTGTAAAGAAATGCAGATGATTCCTCTCCTCTAATGGGCAATTTAAGCGGGGAGGGAAATGAAACAAGAGTATAGTAGGTAAGTGAAATCTATTTGCTCATGTTCTTTGTCAGTCCTCCATAATAAATATTGGTGGTAAATACTTATTTATATATTGAATATGTGCCTAAAGTAAATGCAGTGTGTCTTTTTATCCAGGAATGTTAAAAAAGAGGCCAGTCTGGACAAAGAAGAACCAGCTAAAACAAAGAAGCAAAGTTCTTTAAAAGAACCCGAACTGCCTAAAGCACTTGCCAAGAAGGATCCCAGTCCTGATAAGAAACCAGAACCCGAACTGCCTAAAGCACTTACCAAGAAGGATCCCAGTCCCGATAAGAAATCAGACTCTTCCCCAACAGGTATGATTTAGAGGGGTGTAATGGAAGTTGCCTCTAAAATGGTCTTTGCGATGTTATGGAGCGTATAGTTTAATAGCTGGATGAGAGAGGGGGCACTGGACTGGTCTGAGGTGCTGTGCTTTTTGATGCTGTGCAGTTACAACGAGCTGCTTTTACTTTTACTTGGATAAATACAAATGTAAAATAAAAATGTGTATTAAAGCACATAGGTTATTAGGAGTTGACTCAGATCAAGAAGGGTGGGAGATATATGAACTCTTCGCCATCTTATATAATGAATTTCTAACCTAGCAGAGTTTTATGAACAAGCTATAGCCTCAGATTTAGGGCCGGTTTGTGGGGCCCCAGCAAGGAGTGAGCGGCTGTCTCTGCTGCTTCCTGACCGGCCGCACCATGCCCATGATGCTCTTAATCTGGCCCTGCTGTGAATGAACAGTCAAACTGTTCTACTGTTTTAAATACAAGACTTTATGCAGTACTGGCTTTAGTAAATGTGAAAAATGATTTTTTGCATCAGAGCTTTTCCCCATAGTTCTCCCCAGGGTCACGAGAGGACACAAACTAGCGTCCTCCCGTGACCCAAAGCTCAGTATACCGCGAGCTACAGCGGTATACTGAGATCGTCCCAGCCGGCACGGATCCCAACATTTCTGTCTGGATCCACCCAGCTGCGTGATTGACAGCTGGCTCTGCCTATCTAGAGGCAGAGCCAGCTGTGCCCTCCCCCATCCGTTCCGCCACTCAGCGCTGGAGGATCGGACATGTAAGGGGGGAATCCCTGCAGGGAGCTGTGAGTGATAGTCACTGCTCTCTGTGTGTTCGCTCACTTCCCGATCTATTGAGCCGACCTGTGACAGTCTCATTGCCACACGTCGGCTCGAACTATGAGTGAGTTATTTTCACTCACCTCATAGTTCTCCTTTAACAAAAATGTATTTTTGTATCGCTCAACTGTAGATCCTCAGAGTTCATGCCGACACTGTCCTTCTGGAGGGTGGCTACTTTTGTTCAGCGCTCTTGATTAGCTAAATGAAGTCCTAATACCCAACCAATAGCTGCCAACAGCTAAATCAATTATATTCATTCAATAAGCATTAAATAATTGCATGTTGGACTCTCATTATTTGATTTATAGTCACTTTATTATTTTTAGCGTTGCACATTTTTATATTATTGATGTACACATTATGGGGGTATTTATCAAATCTGGAGCAGCTGTGCATGGCAAGCAATTAGCTTCTCTCTCCAGTTTGTTCAGTTAAGATTTGAAAGTAAGAGAGAACTTGATTTGTTTGCCATGCAAAGCTGCTCCAGATTTTGTCTTCGGTTTTCATAAATTCCCCTCATTATGTTTTGTATTTTGTAACAATCCTTGTTTTATGACGTAGCATGCCACATATATATTTTTTTAAAGGTTTGCTTTAAAGTGACACTCAACTCAGGCGTGAAACCTTAAAAATACGTTCAAGTACCCTAACTATTAACAAAAATGTATCTGTGTATCACTCGGCTCTAGGTCCTCCAAAACCCCTGAATTGGTGCTGGCACTGTCCTTCCTTCTGGAGGGTGGCTACTACTGTTCCCCATGGTCCTTGTGTGTGTTGTAAAGTAGTCACCACTCCAAGCTCACTCCCATGATGGACTACAATCTCGGTATGAATTGGCAAACTAGATGTGCTATTTGTAGTCCAACATGTGAGTGAGCTTGGAGTGTTGACTAGTTCACAACACACAGGGAATAAAAGTAGCCACCCTCCAGAAGGAAGGACAGTCGACTCCAATTCAGAGATGATTTGAGGATCTACAGCTGAGTAATAAAAAATAAGATACATTTTTGTTAATAGTTGGGGTACTTGAATGTATTTTTAAAATGTAACTCCTGATTTCACTTAAAGTATTCATTCACTCCTCTAGAATTCATTATACGCGTAAGGTTCTTGATGCAGTATTTGCAAAATGTCTTAGCAGGTTCAATCGAAAGCGATGGTGAGGACCCTCCCATGTCACTGCCGCGTGCCCCCACTGCTGTCCCAGCTGCCAAGAAACCAGCAAAAGAGAAAGCGGCAAAAGAGAAACCTGTAAAGGCTGCAAAAGAGAAACCAGCCAAACCGGCTGGCGAGAAGGCGGCTCCCAAGAGACAAGCAAAGAAAGCAGTTAGCACTGCTGCCAAGAAGGGTATGTGGAGAAAATGTAATCCGTGGGGGTCATCAGGAGGGAAGGGTCTTATCATTTTTTTCAAACTGTCGAATGCAAGAACTCCTCTTCTTGACCATAGCAGTTAGATTTATCCTGATTTAAAGCTGAACTCCAGGAAAACTTTTTTTCTTCACCCTTGCAGTAGGGATACCCTCGCACTGCAAGGGTTAAGTGCTTGTTTTTTAGATGCTAAAATAAGTTCTATTCACCCAAAGCTCCAAGCCGGCCAGCTGTCACAGCGCTCCCCCCACCTGTCTTCTCCTCCGCTGCAGCATTGGCATCCCACGGCAATGCACTGTGTATAAATGTAATGATTTGCTGAACCTCAGACCGCTGCAGAGGAGGGGAAGAGAGTCTCTGGAGACCGGTCTTAGAATAAGCCGGCTCTGCATCGGGGGAGTATAACTTTTTTTTTTTTCGTTTGGCGACAACAAAGGTTTACATGTCAAACTGACCATAGGCTTATATTGACTTGGCTTGGAACAAACATGGAATACACGGCACTATGGCTGTGAGTCCTATGCTGGTCGCATGATATACCTATGTAGTACAATACATGGCATCTCAGAAGTATAAAATCTATCATTCAGAGTTTGATTAAAAATTATGAGCACATAGTATTTACAGATCGCTTTTAGAAATTGGAATTGACTTTAGAATAGTAGATACTATGTAGATATACTTATTAAAAGTGTTTTTAATGAATCTATCTTGTGGCCTTTCTCCAGATAAGCAGCCATCCATCTTAGAAGCCTTGTCCAAGCCCCAGACATCCAAGTCTACAACTGCAGCCAGACCTGTGGACGACTCTGATGATGACGACATTGCTCCTCCCAAAAGGCACGTTAAGCCAAGTAAAAGGAAGAATTCTGACTCAAGCTCCGACTCCGATTTTGGTCCAAAGCCGAAAAGCAAAACTGCCAAGGTAAGTGTTTCAGATTACGGGGTAGGAAGAATTGGCAAAACAAGTCATTATTTGCTGGCAGTCCTAAAGATTTAATTATGCTCAATGTCAGCTGAGCTTTTCAGACTTAACCACTTGCTGGCCGGAGCAATTTCTTACATTGGCGCACACATGATAAAATCTGAATTTCTTACATTGGCGCACACATAAAGTCTGAATTTTTGGCTAGAAAACAGCTTCAGACCCCCAAACAATGATTTATTTTCTGAAAGCGGAGGTCCTGTAGAATAAAAAGATGCTAGTTGCAATTTTTTGATGTCGCTCAGTATTTGCACAAATGTTTATCAAACAAGTATTTTTAGGATAAAATATACACAAAAATGAAATTTAGTGCACAGAAACAGAATATAGTACCCAATCTAAAAGATGGGGTCACGCCGGATAAATGGATACCAAACATGTCGAGCCTTAAAATTGCGTGAAACCACAAAAAGCTACAATAACCAAAATTTCCCACAGGTGACGCTTTTACGGCTCTTCAGTTTAGTGCCAACAGTGAGTAATGGGCCTAGAATTATTGCTCTCACTCCAACGCTCGCAACGATATGTAACTTGTGGCACAACTTTTCGTTTTTGCACGTAGGCGCAGCCGATGCGTGTTTGCGTTGTACGTGCGTACACGTTGGGAGCAGGGGATTTAAAAAATGTGTATTTTGCTCTTTTAACGTTCAACTCTATTGCTATCACATAGGGGGCTAACAAGCCCCCTATGTAATAGGAAATATAATGTGACCGGTCCTCTTTATGGAGACCCCTAATGTCACCTCAAAGAAGTTGATAAAGCAGATCTGCTTCACCAGCTTTTTCGTTTGGCTCTGGATAGCTTGTTTTTAAACAGAAATCGTCTACTGTTTAAAACAGTACCAAGAGTGTTCTTGGTATAACCACTTCCAGCGGATGATGTACATTTTCGTGAACCCGCTGGAAGTGGTTAACTGCAGTTTTAATGTATATATCTTTATCTCCGTTAACAAAAATAAATACATTTGCCATGCATTGGGGGGGGGGGGGGGAGGGGGGAATACCTCTTGCCATCATCACTCTTTTGCTAGTGTCCTAGGAGGTTGGCTATCTTTTGCTCCTCATTTGCTATCTTTTTTTCTTTTCCTTAAAGACATGGATGAAAAAGATTCCTCATTGAGCCGGCCTTTATATATAACCCCTTACTGACCCCCTAGGCTTAGGTCCTCTTTGCTTTACTGATTTTGGTGCTCATTGAGAAAAGGACCTTGGGTCTCTTCACTTGTTTCTGCCTCCAACCAGATGTATTCTCTTGGTTGTAGAAAAGTCTCCTATTCCTTGTTCCATGGATGCTGAAATCTGGGGGTTCAGGAGCATCCCTAAACCTGGCTAGACACCAGGGATAATACACAAATAATTTTTAGAGCGCTACTACTGTATGGATAAATTCACGTTTGAGGTGTCCCTGTGTCTCAGGAAAGGTCCTCCTGTAATCCCTGTGTAGAACGTGAATTAGCCAGGGTACAGGGTGAAGCGACAGTGGGGTGGATGGGTGCGTGCCTGGATGGTCTTTGGCTGGCAAGAATAGCCCGATGCTGGGGCTGTGCGGACTGAGCTGGCCAGGCCTGGCCGCAACAGCAGTGTGCGGTATCCGCAGGATGAATGTCAGCAAGTCGGACTGCACAGGAGGCTGTAATTGGGCACAAAGGGGCCGCGGTGTAGTGGAATCGGCTGAACTCCCTGAGCGTCAGTGGAGATGGTGCTCAGTGCGTTCAGATAGCGCTATGCGTTTCGAGGTCCTTGCCTCTTTGTCAAGCTGAGATACGTGGTAAAGACTCTTTAGTAGTAGCGCTCTAAAAATTATTTGTGTATTGTCGCTTCATACAGGGCTCATCACCCTGTTCACCATAGAGCTTGCACACTGTTTTTTAATTTTTTTAACCATTTGTGCCCACGTCCCCAGAAGTTGTTACTTCATGTAGTGCGCTTTTCCATTATTTTACCATATTTTTTAGTTTGGACACCAGGGATATGCAGAATTCCTCTTCAACAGGATTCCTCTGGAGTTGCTCCAGAACTAGTTCACAGAAACAAGGGAAGGTATTAATTTATCCTCTGCCCTTCTGCTTGTTAACTCGCCAGTCTGATGCCCGAGTCTATATGCCTACGCTTCTGGATGGGCTTCCTCACACCGTGCCCCTTCAGTCAATTTACCTCTATGGGACAAAATTCAATTTGTGTTTAAATTCCTGGGCATTTTGTGTTGGTGTGCCTTTCCTCCTGTAGATGGCAGTATAAGCCTACAGTATATGGATTTCCGTGTCACTCAATGAACTCCTAACAGATTTTGTGATGTAAACAAATTCCAATTTTTCAGGCTCTGCCTATGTTTGCAAATACAAGGAAATACCTTTTAGGCATTTCCAGAATTCTGGTGTCCTTGTTACTTCTGTTCATTGAACGGATATCTCAAACACTATAATCTACTTTCCTAGCTATCGTCTGTGAAGTACAGAATAGGTCCTCCCTATCCGATATAAATTGGGAGAGAAGGTTTTTGCAATCCATGTCGGGGAAAGGGCAGGGGTCAGCAACCTTGAACACTCAGAGCCATTTGGACCCGTTTCCCACAGAAAAGAAAACACCGGGAGCCACAAAACCCTTTTGACATCTAAAATGAAGATAACACCCCATATATCATTTTTTACCTCTGTGCTATGTATAGCATGAATATAGGTATACTGTATGTGGGCTTAGTAACGCACTGGACTCTGGGCTTATTAACTCACCTGCCAAGCCTCATAGCCAGCATCCAAGCCAGACAGTGTGCAATGCAGGGAGCGGGGCATGTGAGACACACTTCTCCTCTCCCGCCGCCTGTTACTAGGGACGCGGCCGGGAGAGGAGGTGAGTCACAAGACCTGCCCCTTTACTGAGAAGCCCGTCGGCAGTGCGGGGACCCTGCACTGCCGCATATTCCACCGGGGGGGTGCCCAGGACCGTACCTCACTGGGCCCCACAGCCTCAGGCAGTAGTTCCGCCCCTGGACAGGGAGCTGCAGCAGAGGGATGAAAGAGCCACATGCGGCTGCAGAGCCGCAGGTTGCTGACACCTGGTCTAGGGTGACAACGCTGCTGCTCCATAGAGAAGTATGGTTTGTGAGCAAGGAAGTGTTACTGGCAGGATCACCAGGAAAAAAGCCTAAAAATAAAACTGCAGCCACCACAAGGACTGGTATATGCTGTGCAGGCAGTCCCAGAGTTACTTACATCCGACTCCTACTTACAAACGGAGGCTATTACTGTACAGCTGGGGTAGTTGTAATGCTACCGCGCTCTTGCCGACGAGAAGTGTCCGCTTTTTTGGGTCTGGTTCGTAGTACTGTACGTACATTTACAGGAAGTTGGCTCTTGTTAGACATGTAGACGAGGGATGCCCACCTCTTCCGGGTCACTGTGAGCTTTTTACTGCTGTCTGTATCCTCATTAGAAAGATTTAATCTCACTTCCTGTCCTTGAGACAACAGGAAGTGAGAGGAAATCTACCCCTAGAAAGGGAAACTCACTCCTGTAAGAGTGATCGTGGGAAAAAGGTGTCTCTGAAGCTTTATCACCAATCCTTGTTTCCACAACAACCCAACATTTTCAAAATCCAATTGTCACAGGGACAGAAAGTGAGGTGACATCGTCTAAACAGGGGCACAGACAGCAAAACAAACATTACAGGGGGTTAACCCTTCCCTATGCTATCCAAAACAAAAACAAAAGTGCCTGTTCCAACTTGCATACAAATTCAACTGAAGAACAAACCTACAGTCCCTATCTCCGTAACCCGGGGACTGCCTGTATTACATTTTTGTTTCCAGGTTTAGATGTGCTTTAACTTAAGAACTGTTTTGTCCTTGCTCTAGAAAACCAAGGCAGCGGATGACAGCTTCCATATAGACCTCACTTCAGATTCAGAGGATGTCGGCAATGCACCCGTGCGTTCCCGCACAGGCCGTGCCAAGAAACCGATCACATACCTAGAAGATTCTGAAGATGACATGTACTAAACGCAATAAGTACCGTTCTTCCCCCAACAGAACCACTGATGCTATTATAAAGGCAGCTATGTTCATAATTTCTGTCAAATGTTTTACCTTTTGTGGATCTTATCAGCCCCGCGCAAGGCTTTCCAATAAGCAAAGACATTTGTGTATCTTAAAAGTGAAAAATAGTTCAAGCATTTTAGCCATTTCCCTTTTATTCTCCCTCGCCCACACTGTTTTACGACTGCAAAGTCTCTGTGGGTCTTAAAACACTGTTTGTAGCTATAAAATTTGTATTCCTATAAATTCTCTATTACTGTAAAGTTTTTAGATGTCCATCCACCCGAACCTGATTTTTAAGTAGGCGCGGCTTGCTAAAATTGCCCACCGGATTCTTTCAGGCTGCATTATCTCTTGTGCTCCCAACTCTGTCTCTTGCCTTACCATGCAAGAAGGAGGAAGTTTTCCAGGAATAGGCAATGCAAGCAAGAGAACAGGTCAGGTGTGTCACTCTTAAGATTCCCCCCTATAAATGATTACATTTGGATGTATGGACCCTTTTTTAAGCTTTTCATATTTTTGTATTAGTGAAATTGTGCAGTTATTTTTCTAATCCATATAGTAGAGCTGTACGTTTTTTCTCCTCGGTCGCCACCTATGCTTCGTCTGTATTTTGCAGTTATCCAGCTGCTCACTTCCATCTAGCATATACTGTATATAATCTATGTTGTCTGTCAATCTTGTACATATTTTGGTTGTTCTGTCCGTTTTTTCCTTTGCAGGTAAAATAAAAATCTTGAAACAAAATGTCTTCTGTGCTTGCAATCGCTATTGATTTAACCACACGGTAAAGCCAAAGCTTAAACCGTCAACTCAGAATGGATAAGGGGGTAACGTTCATAAGGGGCCTGCTTCCATGGGGGTGCGGTGGTCTTATTTCTTGCCCTACTTTTGCTGTTTGTTTTCAGTGTCACTTCCCCCTTTAAAGGAGAACTATGGGGTCGGCTTTTCCCCATAGTTCTAAGGGTCACGGGAGAACACAAACTAGCGTCTTCCCGTGACCCAAAGCTCAGTATGCTCGTATACTGAGACGCCGCAGCCGGGACGGATCCCGACATTACTGTCTGGATCTACCCAGCTGCGGGATTGACAGCTGACTCTGCCTATCCAAAGGCAGAGCCAGCTGTGCCCTCCCTTTTCCGTTTTGCCAGTCAGCGCGGGAGGTGGGGGGAACCCTGCAGGGAGCCGTGAGTGACGCTCACTGCTCTCTACAGGGATAGATCGAGAAGTGAGCGAGCGACTGTGTTTGCTCACTTCCCGATCTACTGAGCCGACCTGTGACCGTTTAATTGTCACAGGTTTTCTCAGATTGTGAGGCTGAGTGAAAATCACTCGCCTCATAATTCTTTTTAAATTACTTCAGGTGATCACTTGGAGGTTCTAGGCAGGGGGAATCTTCTGCATGGAGAATCTCAAACTTTCTGCAGCTTGTGAATATCTTTATATAAATGAGGATTCTGTGGATTGGCACCTGTTGGCTGGATCACAGCACAGCAAACTCCCCTTTGTCACTGCAATTTGATGTGGTGTCCCCTTTATGTAGAGGATGACTAATTGCAGGTACATGATCTATTGCTTGAGTCGGAATGACTGAGCTATTGTTTAGAGTAGGGATGTTCAGATACCAGTATCTGTATCCGTGCTGATACTTGGCATTTACACAAACTACCGGGGTAACAGCTGACATCGGGCCCTGACCCTCCACCACTGTACCTGAAATCATTAGTCTGTATTGTTAGAAAAACTCACATGACAACAAAAATGTATCAGTGTGAGTACTAGGACAAGTATTGGTACAGGCAGTCCCAGGGTTACATACGTTCGACTTACATACGACTCCTACTTACAAACTGAGCCTATTACTGTACAGCAGGGATAGTTGTAATGCTACCGTGCTGGTGCTGATGAGTGCCCGCCTTTTTGGGTCTGGTTCATAGTGCATACATCACAGGAAGTTGGCTCTTGTTAGACGAGGGATGCCCACCTCTTCTGGGTCACTGAGGTTTTTACTGCTGTCTGTATCCTCATTAGAAAGATTGAATCACTTCCTATTCTTGACAACAGGAAGTGAGGAAATCTACAACTAGGAAGGGAGATTCACTCCTGTAAAGCCCCGTTCCCACTGCGCGATATGCAAATCAAACGCGCGATTTGCATATTGCGCGACATCGCGTGATTTGCCGCGCGATGTCGCGTTCAAGCTTGCATTGAGCATGCTTGAATCGCGGCTAAATCCGCTCAAAAAAGGGTCCTGCTGTAGCGACACACGACCCGCTACAGCAGGACCCTTTGCCCCATTGAATTGCATTGGAGCGCGATATCGCGCGGTAATTTGCCACGATATCGCGGGAATTACCGCGCGATAAATCGCTCAATGTGAACGGGGTCTTAGAGTGATCATGGGAAAAAGGTGTCTCCACTGAAGCTTTAGCACCAATCCTTGTTTCCACGACAACCCAAAATGTTAAATCCAATTGTCACAGGGACAGAAAGTGAGGTAAAATCTGAACAGGGGCACACAGAGCAAAACAAAATGTGCAGGGGGTTAACCCTAAGCTATCCAAAACTAAAAACAAATTGGGCTGGGGTTGCACTTAAAAAAATCTACCTGTTCCAACTTGCATACAAATTCAACTTGAGAACCAACCTACAGTCCCTAACTTGTTCGTAACCCGGGGACTGCCTGTACTTATAACACAGCAGCCACACAGCTTTCATTCTGGTTTATTAAGGTTATATATTACCAATAAAAGTGCTGCGGCTATTTGCCAATACGTCTTACAGACAGATTCAACATGTTGCAACACTGCTCCGTCCCTGCCTCACAGCAGGGAAGAAAAACAGGAGCCCGCTGGCTGAGCTCATCTACGCACTAACGTACACACCTCCACAGTAAAAAAAATTAAGCTGCACAGTGCTTGTCACACTGGAAAAACTCCTTTCATTTAGACTTGTGCCGCTTGGCTTAGTCCCGCCCGTGTTCTGCCCCTCTAATGCGTTTTGCCCTATTCAGGGCTTAGCCATAGAGCTCTATATTATGGGTGTCACCTGCAATCCCATGAAGCTACCCATCTTGTCTATATACCTGGTGGTAGCTTCATTTATTTTCAAATACAGTGGTACCTTGGTTCACGAATTTAAAGGAGAACTATGAGGCGAGTGAAAATCACTCAGCCTCATAGTTTGAGCCGACGTGTGACAATGAAACTGTCACACGTCTGCTCAATAGATCGGGAAGTGAGCGAACACATACCGTCGCTCACTCACTTCTCAATCCTGTCCCTGCCGAGAGCCGTGACTGTCACTCACGGCTGCCTGCAGGGATTCCCCCCCTCCCCTGTCCGATCCTCCAGCGCTGACTGGTGGAATGGATGGGGGAGGGGCGGGTACAGCTGACTCTGCCTCTAGATAGGCAGAGCCAGCTGCCAATCACGCAGCTCCGTGTATCTGCACAGTAATGTCAGGATCCGTCTCAGCTGCGGCAGTCTCTGTATACCGTGAGCTGTAGCTTGCGATTTGCAATATACTGAGCTTTGGGTCACGTGAGGATGCTAGTTTGTGTCCTCCCGTTACCCTGAGGAGTACTATCGGGAAAAGCACCGACCCCATAGTTCTCCTTTTTAATGGTCTATTAAACCTTTTTTTTGGGTCATAGGAGTAAATTTTCGGTCAGCTCTGTCTTACAGTCCGCATTAGACAACTGCCGTGTACCAAGCTGGCTTGGAGCTGAAAAATGTATCTTTGTGTATCACTCTGCTGTAGATCTTCAAATCTCTGAATTGGTGCTGACACTGTCCTTCCTTCTGTACGGTGGCTACTTTTATTTCCCATGGTCCCTGTGTGTTTTGTAAATTAGACACCGCTCCAAGCTTGCTCCCGTGATGGTCTACAATCTCAATACAAGTTGGTAAACTAAACATGAGATTGTAGTCCAAGGGAGTGAGCTTGGAGTGGTGGCTTACTTTAAAACACACGGGGACCATGGGGAACAAAAGTAGCCACCCTCCAGAGGGAAGGACATCGTCAGCACCAATTCAGAGATGATTTGAGTATCTTCAGCTGAGTGATACACAAATAATGTATATATGTATGTTAATAGTTAAGGTACTTGAGTTTAGTGTCACTAAGTATTGAGGATATATACTATATGTGGTATTTTCTACAAAAGCAACTGTAGCTGACCAACCTTTTTGTTTGGGGAGTTGAAATTCTCCTTTTTGTTTCTGAACTTGCTTGCTTTTTATGTAATTTGCAAGTTGGCCACGGGGAGTCCTCTTAATTTCTACTAGGGATATGTAAGTGCACGGGAGATAGTGCACATACAGTATGCTGAAGTCTGTACCAGCCCACTACACAGCACTGTTTTGTTTGGTGTGCATTCGCACGCTAAATCAGCTGGGCACAAAAACAGTAGTAGGGAATTGCAGCACAGACTTTTATAGGAACACGGGCTCAGGTGCTTGCTATGTAATAGCAAGTATATTACCCCTAGGCAGCAATAGAACAAACTGGACCAAGATAACTCACCACCAGTGTTTATTTTTTGACACCAAATTTAATTTTAGTCTGTCTTGATTGCTCCGGGAGCCAGAAGCCAAGTCCGAGAATTAATTTTCGTTCAACTAAAAAGTCTCAGGATATTTGTTTCGTGTTTCGTAGTCACGGAAAAACAGCCAAATGACCAAAAAAATATTTAGTCGACTAAATTAACACTGCTCACCACCCACAATGGATGCGGGTGAAATCAATGACTCACCTACTGTATGTAACTGGGCCACATAACTGTTTCCTGGAAATGTGCATATGCTCTTTCAATTGCAGGGTAAGGACCAGGTTATACCCTGTTATGCTGTATAGCAGGGGTGCCCACAATTTCCTAAGTCATCTTCCAGGGCAGCATCTGAGAGAGAGAATCCACCCACCCAAACAGGAAACACATCATCCACAATTAAAATAAAAGGGGCGGAACAGCCCCACCACCTCAAGTGTTAAGATC